GAATCGGGCCTCACTTGTTTCTCATTGATTTTCGGTAGAATTATGTCGGCTTAAGGTTGTGCGAGTGTATGGCGCGTGAGTGACTATGGGTGTCGGCATGTATGTTATTCTTCTTCTCCGCCACACGTCCACTAACACTGCCATCAAAATTAAATCCTTATTCTAATCTACAACGGCTATGTATACACTTATGCAAACCCTCACCCGTATCGATTGGCATGCTCACACTTTAAAATCGCATATCCCCATAAAATGATGTCCTCATTATAATCTATAGCTGCTATCCACTAGTTCACCCATACCTATACGCACACTAGGCACCCAAAACACATCCACACACTCTTAAACGCCTCGAGACAAGTGGTGTGGGGTATGGCTGTGACTATGGGTGGGGTTTGTATGGGTGAAGGGGTTTTAGTGTAGTGCTGCGTGAGTGACTCTGAGTATCAATGTGCATGTTATTCTGCTGCGCCACAAGCCCATTCATGCTCGCATGACAATTGAACCCTCACCCATATCTACAATGGCTATCCAAACGCTCACGTAAGCTCTCAGACACATCGACAGGTATATCATCATCTGATACTCACATGCCACATACAATTCTACCCTCATCCTAATCTACAATCATTATTCATAAGTTTCCCCAGACTCTCACCTACACCCACCCGGAAAGCCTTACCACATCCACATCTTTATTCGAACAAGTAGAAATCATTGTCAATATAAGATAGACCAAGTGTTTGGAACTCAGTGAACAAGCGCCTCTGGTAAAGGTCAACGTTTATAGTGATCTGCGCACGAAGAATTCAATGGTGCTGAATAAGACACTTTAATGCGCTTTGTTTATTAAAAATCTCTGCACACTGAATTTTTCTTACCCACACCCTGGAACCTTTATAATTTCACCCATCCTAATATTGATTGAAAAATAAGAAACTATTTAGATGTCGATGAGCTCTTTTCTTCTTCGAGAAAACCGAACTTATTTCTCAGTGAATTAGTGAAAGAGAGAAAAGAAAAACAATCGTTTTTATCCTGCACAAATAACAAGTCAGTTGCTTTTTGTTTTTCATTTGACGACGATCGCATTCTTCTGCAAACTGAAGAGACAAAATTTTATTCCTAGAATGATTTTCTAGCCTCTGGTATGTCTTTGGTCGCTGAATTTGCTGCTGTTTGTTACATCAAAAATGGGTCTTCCACGAAACGGACCGTTTCAGAAAATATTCTCGCAGAAATCTGATGAAGGAATATTTTGAACTGTCCAATCGCTTTTTTAGATGAAACCTGCGTGGTTATAGACTACCGATTATGCCAATTTCGAATATGAACATGAAAAACGCTCTTAGACCTTCTCTTTAGAGTTATGAATATTTCACAACAATTTTAGCCGATGGGGCGTTACATACCAACAAATCGAATGGCTATACTTCATGCTGAGATTTTGCCTACGAACAGGCCCATTTGTCGGGAAAATATCTTGAAAATTTCAGTTAAATAAGTCTTACCTTTCCATCATCTTAAAATCCAAAACCAGAAAAGCATTCTACCCTTCGTTGTAATATATGAGTTAGATTTGAGATTATAATATCTTGAGAAGTAAAGGCTTTTTTCTCTGAAGTCTTCAGGATATGTTGCTCAGCAATGTGTCTGTTCTTGAGAAAGATTTCATCTCGAAATATTGCCATTCGATTTGCTCGTGTAAATCCAACTATGGACTACAATTGAAGTAAAATGCCCATAACTCTGAAGTGAAGGCCTAAGAGCGTTTATCACGCCCACATACAAAGTCAGCATAGTCGATAAACTTCGATCCAGCAGGTTTCATTATGCAAGCTATCGGGCAGTTGAAAATGTTTCCTCGTGATTATACAGAGAACAGATGAGCGTCTATCGATAGTCGAATGATATATGAATTGACTACAGCTCTATTAGACAGGATCCGATTTAATTCTTTCAAATGTGTCGAGAGAGATGGTATGTTCCGCAAGTGTATGCTAGCTATTTGTTTGCTACCTAGAAGAAATGCCATCGGTCGCATTCTATAACCTATTTATAGCAAATGGCAGAAACATTATGGTATCCTCTTTAGCGATCAAAAGACAATACCGTATTTGTCCGTGTGGTTGTCGAGTGCATGTGTATTTGCGAGTCTCAGTGTTGTTCATTACTTGATGATCAGCCATGTCTGTAAGCCCACACCCACACCTATGGGGTTTTCCCACCTGAAGCATTCGTGCGCTCTCTGCAGTCAAGACACTACATCGCATACGTGATGTGCATTTGTGGCACATATAAATTGATACTGACAATTTCGTTTTCTCTTCATTTTGAAAGAACACTGAGCATGAGCTCGCTTTAGTTTATTTTATTGTTTCCTGAGTAGGTCTTTTCTTGTGAATGATTTGTGTAACTCTGCCCATACCACATGCCGCATTTCATCAATAACTCATATATATATATATATCATTGATTAGATTTTCGCGAATGCATGTTGTAAACTTTTGTGAAATGGTTTTCTTTGATATCTTAGTATAAACGAGTGCGTTTGCGCTGCTGTTGTTATAGAAGTTAATCAAGCGCAACTGCCGATTTTGAAGCGACATCTGACAAGTTTTATACGGAGTTGTTTCCTGAATGAAAAATACTTAATTGGAAGCGTTTTCCAGATTGCTAAGTATTATCATGATTAGTCACTCAATAGCTGTATGCTATTAATTTTAAGATAACTTTGTCATCGTCCTCACTCATTGTTCGCCATTGCCTATTTTAGTATTTTAACGAAATGTTTTCGAAGAAATTATTATTATTACTATTCTATTTCAGATATTTTCCTTGTATCGGAAGCGAACTGTTCGATATTCATTGGAACTTCTTACTATTCAACTAATATCTTCAACACAGACACTCACAGTAGCACGATTTGGAAAATTCTATTTTCAAGTGAGTCCTTATTTGCCACTACTATCTTTTGTAATTATAGTGAAAGAAAGCAATCTAAAGTCGCTCACACAGTGCGCTTGCTTTACTTTCCTATAATTCTGTAGGCACACAGATAGATGTTCATACATATACTAGTGAACCTTATCCAACCACTTCTACAAGAACCGTGATATGTGAATATCTTCAGCGTTTCATCAGGTGTGGGGTGTAGCTGTCGTTAAAGGGATTAATGACATCCACACCTATACAATCAAACCACAGTTCTAAGGCTTCAATTGAGTTCTCAGAGCCTCTAGAGTTCCAAGGATTCTTTGTAAATTTATGATTCGACTACGGCATGCGTTTATATATGTTTTGCCTCGCATAATTTTGAGTTCAGAGTTCCTCAAGAGTTCTGAATTGATGGAATCCGGTCACTGCCGAGCAAAAATGACGTCGAATGGTTGTTGAGTGTTCAATATAAAGCTACGCGATTCTAATAATAGGGGTTATTTAGTCGTTGCTATATATAAATATCGATTTTATTTAGATGAATCATTTAATAAGCAATTGACTAGTGCTCCATATCTACAACTTGTTAGTGCAATACTAAAGAATTTTTATAAATAATTTCGTCACTAGCTACGTTGAGATCGTGAACAGTAGAAGTTGCTGATAAATACAATAACATATACAGTAAAACCGATATAATGTGAATACTGTCGGGACTAGCCATACGCCGCATTGGAACTCAAATCCAAACCGTTTTGAGAGTTAGAGTTTGGTTTTGAGCATGAAATTTGGGTTTGCGTTTGAGTTTGAGTACATGAATCAGAGTTTCAGTTTGCTATATCAGTTCACTAAAGTACTAGACTTTAGATATATTGCCATTTCTGTCAGCTCTTTTCTGTATATGTAAAATTTTATTTTATTTTTATATAGATATAAGTAAAACCATATTTCTATGCTTCACATTGTCAAGCATTGGAACAAAGTCATTGTTATTCCTGAAAAGATACCTTTTAGAATGGGTACTTTTGATTAGTTTACCTACGATCCAGTTGATGGAAAATCCAAATCACTTTTCTCAGTTGAAGAAACGATTTTTCAATGTTCTGTATTAGTGAAACATCGGTTTTGGTCAGTGTAAAATACAAATTCGAACCTCATTGCCTTTGAAACTATATTCATCGATCAACAGCCGATATAAATTGAAGCTTTAGGGAGAGAGAGTTTCCTTATGGTTGTTCTCCAATCGAGAGTACACTGATCATAAGATTTACACAGAAAAGCTCTTGTGACTAGCTATGCGCCTACGTAGTTGGTATGGGCGAGAAGCTTAAGCGATTAAGCGAAAGGACTCCTAAACCTGGTCGATTTTTTGTCTAGAGCGACAACTATTACTAGTTGAATGGAAAACATTGAGCCTTCTAAATTGTCTTCACACACAACACTCCAGTGCAGGATAGCCGATAGTCAGGATATACTTCTTTTTCTCCTTCTAGAATAGTTTGAGGCGATAGTTTGTATCGCAGCTACATTGCTCTAAGAAAGACTATATTTGGATAACACGCCGTTGAAATATAACTTCGAGTTGTGACTGAGTCTTCTTCAAATGAAGTAATACGGATCTTTCCTGTGTTTGGCCATACACACTCGCTTAAGTTTTTCTTCTCCTCTTTTGCTATTAGTGGTGTATCATAGGTTTTCCCTTTCGTGTCAAATATGTGTATGGTGGTATTTTTCGTTCGTCTTATACGTATATGTTATAGACTTTATATGAATCTTCGTAAAACTGGCGAAATCCTATATGAATCCAGAAAAAGAAACGACATCCGGATTCCTAATGTTTGAATCCGATTGAATCCTGCTGTCGAAATTCGGTGGGATCCAATGTCTCGCTCCGACTGATCTCTATTATTGCTACCGATTGGGGTATAGGTGTGGGTGTTTGGGTGTAAATCTTCCTCTATCCCACACCCAAACCCTATGTGTGCGCGTGTTGATATACTCGTCTTATTTCACATTGACTATAAGCCATATTAACAACTATATTATCACACGTTTTCATAGCCATGCAAGCCGGCGAAGGAAATTTAGCCAAAAATGATGATGATGATGATCTTACAAAAGTCATAGTAGGCGATGATAAACTCTTTCTGGATGGAGTCCCTGATTTATGTGAATGTGTGCCTTCATCGGTAAGTAGTCCTCATTTCTACATCTTTATAGAGCTGTCTTTGTTCAAAATTCATTACAGGTAGATTATACGCCTAGTCCATCGAGTCTTGGAGCATCTGATGGTAGATATTTCGAAGTTAATGTTTTACTACGAGAAGAATCAGCAGTTGAGCAACAATCGCATACGACACAGCAACAGCATCGCTCATCGTTATATGATAATAGAAAGTATCGTATTCATTTTGGTACACGTCCTGGTTCCTATGCACCAGAACGGCTTTCATATGAAAAATGCCAAAAGCGTCACGAAAAGCTCATTGACTTACTCAACCAAATTCACGCCAAGCTGGATGATTTACGAATGAAACAATTTTTATTTGAAATTCTTCATAGCAGTGCTATTTCTACTACTGAAACTTGGGCAATCGAACCTTACGCATGTATCAGCTTTGGATCATGTCCACTTGAAACAGTTGAAGGTGTGGCTGCTATCATCGGTCGTATTTTGAGACAAGATGGTATTGGAATTTTTCATGATGGCTGTGATTATCAAGATCATCTTCTCGGACAGTTTGTCGACACATCCTATTATATTCATCGCTTTTTTGTCATCTCTCGGTCGGATCACTCACAAAATTTGTCTATTTCAAATGATGATGCTCGTGAAATGATGGCTGCCATTGGGGTAGTTTACCCAAAGTTGTCGGGTCAGTTTGGCAAATCAAATGAAACAATAGAGCTTCATGATTTTGAAGACTACTACAAAGCGGAAATTATCGAGGATCTCAATCAGATTATTAGCAACGTCTCCAGTGATCAAAATCGTTCTTACCGCATCGAGGAAAGAAAAGTCAATAGTAGACTCTTGCTAAAAGACGAATATTCTGGAGCAATCAAAGAAGCAGGATTTGAACTATTGGCCTTGTTTATTGATGCTGCTCATTTACACAACACCCTTTACCCCAGTACACCCTAATACTCCGTCGTCTCCAACATTTTTTTCCTTTTTTGTTTCCTCCATTTCTTGAGGGTGTGGGTGTGGGTGTGTAGGAAGCTACCACGATGCGTTTCAACTATTGCTTAAATAGACTTATCAAGTGGCTTAAGATCTTCAAATTCGATTTAAAAATTCAAAAGAAATTTTTGAACAAATCAAATAAAGACAAATTCACACTGTTCTAATTCACGAAGAACTAGAATGGCAAATGTAGACCTGTTCTCAAGACAAGATTAGTCTCGGAATGCCAAGATCCGAATTTCATGTCCCCGAAAAGACAATCATCAGTTGACTTTGATTCTGTCGTATTTGTTTGAATGATTTCGAAAAATCACAACGAAATACATAGGGTGTGGGGTGTGTGGGTGTGAATCTGGATGTAAGTGTGGGTGTAGATGAGTACGAAACCTACAACCATACCCACACCCACATCCCACCCTGGACTGAACGAATAGTGTTAGATTGTGATCCAGGTGTTGATGATTCAATTGCAATTTTCTTAGCATTAGCATCACCAGATAAAATAAAGATTGGCGCCATTACGATTGTAATGGGTAATCATAACGATATTGATTTACTTGCAAATAATGCATGTTTATTATTACAAATGTGTAATATGAGTTCAGATATTCCTGTGATTAAAGGTGCAAATAAACCTCTTGCTTGTGCCTATCATGGTCATTCAGGCATTAAAGTGCATGCACAAAATGGAATTGGAAATGTTAAATATCCAGTAAAAAATTTAAATCGAAATCCTATTGAACAATACAAAAGTATGAGTGCCGCACAATTTATTGTTCAACATGTGTTAGCGAATCCAGGTGAAATAACACTGCGTGCTATTGGTCCGTTAGCAAATATTGTATTAGCAGTGTCAATCGGTGGAGGGAAATTTATTAAATCTGTTAGAAGAGTGGTTATTATGGGTGACTCCGTCGGAGGATTTGGTAATAAAACAGTCGCAACTGAAGTTAACTTGGCAAATGATCCACATGCAGGACGAATTGTATTTCATGCTTTTAACAACATAACAATGGTTGGGTTAAATTGTACTCGCCAACTCCCATTAAGTAAAGAAATACGGGGAGAAAACTGAGAGAACTACACGCAATTGGACAATTTTGTTTTGATATTACCGCACATTATACAGAAATCTTGCAGTCATGGAATGATTCGCCATGTTTCAATGATCCAACTGTGATAATGTATTTGATTAGGCCAGATCTATTCGAAGGTCAACATGCTTGTGTAGATGTAGAAGATAGCGGGAGATTAACTACAGGCCAAACGATTGCTGAGAGGACTGGTCGCTTGGGAAGACCAATGCAAGCGTTAGTATTAATGAAAGTAAATAAAAGTGAATTCGAGACGGAATTGTTAGATCGATTAGCAAGATTAACAATGTTCAAAACCAAGTCCAGAAGATCAGATGAAGACAACGGAGAAACAAATTAAAGTTTGAAAAACATAATTTTGTAATGGTTGCAGTGTGTTTATTCTCAGAAAACTAAATCGCTGTTATTTTTATGAGAATTTTTAAAAGAATAATATTGTTTATCAATAAATGCTAGTAACATGATGGAACAAAAGTGGTTCAATTTTTTACAAAAGCTGCCATCGTTTAAAAAAGCCACCTTTTAAATTTTGAAATGAAGTGAACAATGGGTCCATGACACGACTCGAGCCGGTAGAATAAATTGAGAATCGGTTCGGTTCAATAGGTAACTAGAAGATTAAAATTGTTGCTAAAGCCGGTGAGAAAACGGAGCATTTTTCGGGGTTGTGGTTGTTTGGTTCGTCTATTCTCTTATATCCATATCCACACATCCACACCCACTACAACAATAAAAAGAATATTATTATATTTTAAACTAATAAGTTGATTTTTATAATTAATTTTAAGTCAAAAATGAAATCATTAGGTGGTATTGATGAAATTCCTTTTTACCTAAATAATTTTCGATATAAGGAAGCAAAATTCTGTTTATTTTTTGAGTGCTTGTTTCATAGCTTGTAGACAATCTTCACTAGTTATTGCATCAAAATAGTCTTTTTTTTCTTGTTCATCATCAATAGAAATAAGTTTAATTATATTCGACCACCATTTTTGTTTCGTTATTTGAAAACCTTTCAATGGTCTTTCACACATCATTTTTAACCATTTTCGTGATAAATCATCTGGTGTTTCACTTCTTTCACATCGAATTGAAAAATCATTTGATGATATAATGTTTGCATCAAATATTAATCGATGAGCAAGCTGTGGTTCAAGTTGATGTCGCATAATTTCCAATGGTATCGTAGGAAATGGTACCCCAACAGGTAATTCTGTAACACCAATGCGAAATGGTTTTCGTGTACCTATAGCAATATAATCACATGCAAGAGCAATTACAATGCCAGCAGCAATAGCATGACCATCAAGTGAACAAGCAACTGGTTTTGAACAACGAAGAGGTGCTGTTGCACCACGGTTAATTGTATCGGAGACGAGTTTATCAATTGTTGGTCGATGACGTTTAACACATATTTCATACACATCAGAAAGGTCAAGACCAGCAGAAAATGTCGAACTAAATAAAAAAAACAACTTTTATGACAGAATATTTTGTTTTATTGATAAATACCTAAAATTAGAACGTAGATGAACACCTTTAATATGATCATTTTTTGAAGCATGATCAAAAGCTTGTTCAAGGTCACTGAGTAATCCAATAGACATTGCATTAACTTTAGGTCTATTCATAGAAATAGTTAATGTAGCATTAGCTAGTGAAACACTTAAATTTTTCCAATGTTGTTGTAAAGCTGCCATGATATGAAATAAATAAATTTCTGCTTTACTTTTGGTCAGTATTAGACTTTTTCTTGATTTTGTTCCTATTGCTTGTATTCATCTATCAACAGGTTAAAGTATTAAATAGATGGAGCACACTGACATACATTAGTTCAATATTTATTTTTTCATCTTTTATTCTTTAATCTGTTCAATAGGTGAATGAAATAAAACAAAATTATTTGACTTTTTTTCGTCTATATTTCCGATTTGATGATACAACAGAGAAACGTTTTCTTGTACTTATATGTAAATTGAATAAAAGGAAAACAGATTTTTTCCTTTTCAACCACACATAGTATGAAATGATTTTTCTGCATAACGCTTGCCGTTGCATTCGTTATGTCGATAAGCAGGCTGAATTAATAATGATTTAAATAAAATACGAAAAACACGAGCTTTTGATGCTAATAAGGTGCCAGTAATTCAAAAATCGGACAACTTGTTTTTGCTTTATTAGCTCATGATTCGACAATGCTCAGCGATCTCTACAAGAATATCTAAATTAAAAAAATTTTGAACTCGTTAACTGAAGTAAAATTTAGAAAAAACAAACGTTTTTTATACAACATTTTTTTATAAATTTTTCTTCTTTTATTTGATATTTTTGGTGTAAATCATTGAGGAAAGTGTTCGCTAGATTCAGTGCGAAAAGCTGCATCCAATGATATAGTTTTTGAGGTTGTTCATATAAGATATCTCTAAAAAGTTATTGAGTCCAAATGAGTAGTCTAGTACATGCAGTTGAGTTATCTTAAAAGACTATGTACTCTCCTCGATCGCTTCATTATTTCTTTCACAATTTTATGTCATTTTATTCGTCTTGATACAAAAAAAATAGTATGCATGCTTCTTTATTCTGCAATAATATAGCTGAGAAGTGTCATTTTTTCTGATCATATATCCTATAACGACAAGTTCATTTTAGTGAATTTATCTGATGTCGAGTGGAATGCAATTTTAAGTTGAATACTTATACGTAAAAACAGATCCAGATCTGGATAAGAAAGGAGGGGGGAGGTTAATAAGACTTGAAATCGGTCCACGACACATATGCTCCCATTCCCTTACAGAATGCTTCCTTACGATGCCAAACAATTTTTTTCAACGAAATCCATCTCCAAAACGTGACATTTCATTTGCAGCATAATAATCAGAGAATAGATTTTTCTCCTCTCTTTCCCATCGCAATTCATAGCCATTGAACTATAATTACGCTGAAAGGCGTCAAGATATGTACCAGTCGAAAGCTCTTTTCGAGGGCTTCCGGGTGGTGCCAAAACATGGCCGAAAAAACCTGGGCCTGAAGTGCACCCGTGCGGAACCGGAGCTTTCATGATTACTATAGTTTTAAGACTAGGTTGGAGGTCAGTGAAAGTAAGCTTATGACTGATGAGCTAGCTTAGATGGCCAAGACAGAATTCGCGTTGCTCTAATTGTCGAAGGGACAGGATTAGAGCATCAGAGCGATCACTTTGCTCAACAGTTGTCGGTGCAGTTGAAATCGCGTATAAATTGGATATGCGTTGGAGACCTTCCTTTAGTTGAAACTGTTGGATTTGAATAGATACTGGTAAGTTAGAGCTTGAGCCCCAGTAGTGGTTGAAAAGTTTGGTCTGTATAGGACGATTGTCTGAGCGATGGAATGATTAGAGTGTAGGGCACAGTGGTTTTTGTTTTGTTTATTCCATCATGAAGATCAGATGTGCTGTACAGAAATGTACGAAAAGAGGGGCTGAACGAAAGCGTGTTTTTTGCCGGATTGTCTTCGTCGTCGTCAGTCCCTTTCTCTGAATCAGATAAATTGAGAAGTTCACCAGCATCGGTGAAGACATTGATGAAAGTCCCTGATGGCATACTGTTTGTCTGTCTTTGCCATCTTGAGTATGACAATACCATACTACAGAGGTGATGTGGGAGCAGCATCCGACGAAACGATTCCCACATTTGCAGTCACACACCCAGTCTAATATTTGATCAGATGAGAATCGAATGATCGGATGATATCTTGTTCTGGTTACGTGGGCTGACTGGTTTGGAACTTAGATAATGTTTCGAAATTCTCGGCAGCGTTGGATATTGTAATTCATTGCTCCAGTAAGATCCGTCGGGTATGGGTGTGGGTGTGGATTGACTCTTCAACGAAGCCCACCCACACCCACACCCTTGTTAGTACTTTATTTGGTAATCTCGGCTCTTGTTTAATTTTTTACGATGATAAACATACTTCACAATTTGGTAATAATATGTTACTTTCTGACATAAATTATTTTGACTGGTTTAGAAATTTAGCGGTACCCTAATGAACAAAGATAATAACAGACCTCAGATGGATGATATTCCTCCCTGCATAAATGAAACGGATCATTGGATTAGATGTACTGCATTGAACGATTCGTTACGTGTATCACTTTGTACTGTATCTCTTTATATTTTTTTCTTCTTTTTTTCACTTATGCATATTTGTATTTTTATATTTTTTTATCTTATATGTGCTGAATTTCAATTTGCGTCACTTTCCTGTTCGTTTAATCATTTCATTCGGTTTGTTATTTTTTACTGAATTTTCTTTCGTTCTCCATTTCGTTCTCTCTGGGTATGCTTTCTGTCAGTGGGGGAAGTGTTATGTCAGGAGATTTCTCTCTCTCTCCTGTCATAAATATGTTCTCTCTTCTTCTCTCTGTTTCATTCTATCACGTTTACAATCATTCAATTCTTCTTCTGTTATCTATCCTATTTAAGTGAGTGTTAATGTTTAAAGAAGGGGAATTATTTCTGGTGAAAAGATAATAATAAGAAGAATGTAACATTTATGAAAATAATTATGAAAGAGAAAAAAGATTCATGTGTATGCTCCACTGTTTTTATCGAAACATAAATTAAACACATAGTAACAGAAAAAATAACATGTTTTTCTTTTCTTGCTTTTCTTTGCAACTTTCAACGACTTTTACATATGTGAGTAGAAAAGGTATGGTACACACAATGGGAAATCTGAGCAGCTTTTTTAAAATTTATATATACATATGACTCGATTGATTATATCAAAATTGCAAAAATATTTCAAGAAACTAGGCTTCTTAGAAAATTAGTGGGTTTAAAGCAATATCCCTAAAACTAATCTACAGTATGTTGTGCAACTTCTAAAAGTTGTTTTTCTTAAGATTCATGATTAACAGATTCTAAAATTGTACTTAGTGACAATGAAACAGTAGTTTGTACCCTAGAGAAAAATTTTCTAACGCAACAGCTTACAAAAAAGCACATCTTTTTAGTATAAAATTCATCAAGTCATCTTCATACAGAGATGGGGGTGTGGGCTGAGTGCATAAATAGGAAAAAAAGAATAATAAAGAAAAGATTAACATTCAGATTAGGAATCCAAAATAGGAAATTTATTGTTCATTGGTTAAATAGAAACATGAATTTCTATCTTGTGAATTGATTTAAGCTACAACAGGGCCTCTGTAACACTTTCGATCTCAGTTTTTCCGTATCTTCATATTAAACATACAAATGCATGTTTATCTTTCGTCATTTTTGCTGTCATTATTTTCTACACTGTTATACTGTAAAAATCACACGCATCGTTAATGTAAAAATATCGATGATCGAATAGCTAAGACTACTTACCAGCCGATATAAAAATGCTTATTTTTTAATGTGAACCTGCAAGAGGTATTACTTTGCATATATAGCTAGGTGTTACATATTTTTTCTTTTTTTCTAACATAAAATATTTATCTGAGTCAATGAAGTGTGACTCTAATTTCGCTACTTCTTATTTTCGCATATCAAAACATTGTTTCATGTACACCGCAAGTTCACCAAATAAGTGATCCATATTTTCCTTTCGGTTGTGACCAGTGCAAAAAAAACGATGGGCATCTTACTATTTCTTTCCATCAAGTTAGCGCGCGGGTGACTGTATAAAATAACATTAACCAGACACAGACCCTCACACCAACACCCTAAGAAACCATTTTGGACGCAAAGATAAAATAATTAATTCCTATGCGTAGAGTAATAAGCCTTTCCGATCAAACAGTAGAACAATCGATCTCTGTACGTAGAATGATAAACCCTTTAAACGAAAGAGCGGAAAGATCACCCCTGTACGATGACCAATGAACTTCTTTCAACAAAAGAGAAGTAGAATCAACCACCAACTGACGATGAAACTATCCCTTGAGATGCTAAGGTAGATAAGCCGATATTTTTCAGTAGAATAAAAAAAACCTGTCAATGAAGAGGCATAGAATCGAGCATTCACGTATAGTACTAAACCCTTTTTATTAAGATGTAGATGAATCAATTGTTGAACGTGGAATACTAAACCCTTAGCAAAAAATGGCAGTAGAATCTATCCTTAGGCGTAGAATAATGAACTGTTTCTGAGAAGGGTAGCTTTCTCTACCCAGAAAGGCAGAGTGATGTATCCGTTTAACGAAAAAGCAAAATAGTAAACCAAATAACGAAGAATAAAATACCCCTACCTTGAAAGCAAACAACAATCTATTATCATCCGTTGAAGGATATACTCTTATATTAAAATCGTAGAATAATGAATCCTTATGTATCCATCATATACCCCTTGAGTTTTCATAAACTCATAGCGCCATAAACCCTTCGACTAATAAACGCTAAAAGGTTCATCACATCGGAATAAGCTCTTCAAGGGTTTAATGGCGACTTTTTTAAGTGCAGGGGTAGATCATGACGCGGATTTTTTTATCAGTGTGATCTTACAAGACCTTGTACTATCTGTTGTCAGATTTTTCGATCTGCGCATTCATATTAATACGAATGCAGTTATCTAGGCCTATAAAAGACTGAGCGAGTTCTTTGGTGATATGCTGTTGAAGACCTCAACAGCATCGTTAATCATATAATGAATGATTGTAGCAGCTAAAGCGATTGAAACATTGATTATATCTTTTGTTCTCAAATATTTTGGCAAAACATCAGAATATTATTGGATTCGGCGAGGCAAAATTGAAGATACATGAGTTCTGTTTCGTTTAAATGCTTCCCAGGGCAAACAAGTAGATACTAAGGTCTGATAAGATTCTACATTTGATCTTATATGATCTTGTAAGATCCAACAAAACTTGTACGAAAATCGTAGTCTCTGAAATCTTACGTTAAGTCGAACTATCAGATTCTTGAAAGATCTTACTGTATCGTAAGATATAACTCTAGGATTATAGAAAATTTTATGCAACAATAAGATCGTTCAAGAGTCTTGTTGTAAGAATTAATGTAAGATTTCAGAAACGACGATTTTTTATGCCGTCATATCTCGTGTTGAAAGATCTTCGATCTAATGTTTTGACCTGGTATTGTATTTTACTCTTTAGAAAGAGTACGATGGGCACGAAAAATAGTTCGATGGGTACGAAAAACAGTTCGATGGGCACGAAAAACAGTTCGATGAAGGCTGATAATGGAAGCAACATACGAGGTGATCGAGCTCGCTATCTGGATGTTAACAAGGAATCAGACAAGGTTTTACCATATATTCCTGTAGCTTGTGCTACAAACTCAATTGCATCATTACGAGAAGCTGTTAAACCTGTTGAAAATTTGATCGAAGACTTAGCAGATAAAGTTGAATATTCACTGGAAAAATGCAAGCGTCCAAAAGATGGTCTCACACAAAATGAATCAGCTTCCTTGTATTTGTATTCAATGCAGTGGCCTCCAGGAAAAGATTCATTTTATACAATGTTTAATTGGGCACTACGTGATGAAGATCGAACTAAAGCAGTGTTATATCAAGATTACTGTAACCTATTTATGTCAGCATTAAGTAAGCTACCTTCGAGACAAGACGATGTATGGCGTGGTGTCAATGGCGATTTGAGTGAACAATATGGTCAAGGTCTATAGACGTAGCATAACAGCGTCTCGTGAAATAAAATCCTTTGTCTTTTTAGGTACAACGCACGTTTGGAGGGGTGCAACTTCATGTAGTAATATGGTTCATGTTACTGACTCGTTTCTTAACAGTACAAGTAGCCGCACTCTTTTCAAAATCAAATGCTTCCAGGGAAAGAGTATTGAAAATCATTCAGCCTTTCCAAATGAAAAAGAAACCGTCTTACCACCTGGTACTTGTCTCCGAGTAAAGTCACAGTCGAATCCAGCCCCAAATTTTTATATTGTTGATCTTGAGCAGATTGTAATATCTTCAGAGCAAAAAGTTGCTCCAGAGCTTTCGTTTTTTCATCTTATTTGGCTGCGTCCCTATGCCGATAAAATTCTTCAACAAACAGAAATAAAACTACTAAAGTTATTTCCAATTAGTTTGAAAACGTTTGAAGATTCTAATGAATGTGAAACATTTATTCGGCAGGAAAGCAGCTCTCAAACAATGTTGATAGTTAGTGGACAACTGGGTCGCGAAATCGTCCCGAAAATGCATGATTTATCCAATATAATGGCCATCTTTGTCTACTCTATTAATAAACAAGCAAATGAAGAATGGACCAAAAATTATAAAAAAGTAAAAATTCTTCTACTCCGATTCATAAATTTTGAATCTTAATAAACAAATAGTTCCTGTTCCTTTCAGGTAAAAGCTGTTGTTTCTAATCCGACCGATTTGATCAGCGAATTAGAAAGGTTATTGTCACCGGAAGAAAGTATCAATGGCTCATTTGCGTAAGTCTTATTAAACAAGTTGTAGAATCTTGCCGATCAAGAATCAACTACGATTTTCAGATTGAGTATGAATTAACGCAAAACTTTAGCCTTCTTTTTTCAGTGACAGCTGACATATAAACAAATATGCATGCATCAAAACTCCACGAAAATATATCTGAACGGTTGATTTTTATTCCAAAAACTATTCTCCAAATAATCTCTGAAGCCCCACAGCTTATTTTCAATTTTGAAAAAATCGAATGCAACTCAAAAAATTTCATCTTTACAGTAACTGATGTCAGATAGTGCTACTAATTATTCGATTGCCTAACTCATCTACCGAATGACTATTTTTTGGTACCATCATTAATAAAAGAGATCCAACTAAAAAACCAAGCGAATATAGCTATTGTGACTGATACCAACCCCATATAAATTATCCTGAGATACGCGCATGAAATATATGAGAACCTGGAGCGAGAACGCCATGTGCTATGGACAAATATTGAGTGCTACGCATAAGAAAAAAGCTATATAAACGAGTAGTCTCAAGTTCCAAACATTTTTCTCCTCAAAATAGGTTTCACATATGAAAATATTAATATCTCCACTGCTTTTAATTACGGTTTAAGTCAAAGTATTTCTCCCATGCGCAAGGTTTTCTTAGGTTCTTGACCAAAAAAGTTACGTGCTATGGTAAAATCTTGAGTTCTGTAAAATCAAGTATAAGAAAAAACAAATTCGCCTAGGGGCGACTTCTGGACCTTCATCAATATAAGGGACCGACATTTCGGAGTGAAGTCTGTTAATTTTTTAAGAGCTAAAAACTATGTATGCACTGTGATACACAAAAGCATTAAGCAGGAGAACTGCCGTTAGCTGTGATTAACCAAACGTTTTCGAGCGTTTCGAGCAACATGGAGTAGCAACCGCTGGTGCACTGTATCAAATTAAGTCAGATTTGCATCATACTTGAGTGAACTCAACCAATTGAAGTTTGAATGTGGATGTAAAGGCTCTTTTAATCTGCACCGTAGACCCAGTCGTACATTCACACCATCAATCAGGTGATCCTTTTTGCATATTTTTGATCATGCTTGTGTTCAACTTTGTCGAGTTCAATTCTTCGAATTGTTTGACTCATCAGTTGACCGTTACTGTTGAAAATTTTTCAACAAGATTTTTCGACAATTAACAATTATTTTACTTTTATTTAATTAATGAAGACAAATTTTCACAGGAGAGTACTGCCTATTGAACGAAATTCAGTGAAAGACTCTGAAATGTTCTTAATCTGTTACAGAACCGAAGCAAAGTGCGATTAATTTTTCCTGATTCATCTGTTTTATACCTACTTTTCAGAGAAAGATTAACAAATATCGAATATGAACCGGATCTAATGTTAACACCAATTTCAGGGTATGAAAAATTACCTCTACTTTCTTTGGAAGAAGCTCTTAAACCATTGAAAGATATTATACCTGGATTAGAAATCTACGTACAAATAGTAAAACAAAATTCATTGAAGCCAGTAGATGAATTGACACCAAACGAGTCGGCTGCCATCCAAATTTACACAATGGAAATGGAGGTGGCTGAAAGTTCGCTGTCTCACCTAATGAACATAGATTTATGTTCAATAGATAGATGTTCATTAACAAAATGGTTTCCCTATTTGAAATTATTTATGACTGCGTTACACAAACTGAAATCTCGTTCAATGACATTGTATCGGGGAGTGAAAGTTGATGTGAGTCAACACTACACTGAAGGTCAACGTGGTGTATGGTGGGGATGTTCAACAGTTACCATGAGCATTGGTGCTCTTCAAGAGTGCATTGGTACAACAGGCGCATGCACAATGTTCATGATTGAGTGTCGCAATGCAAAAGTTATCAGAGCTCATTCTTTCTTTAACTTAGAACATGAAGTCCTCCTAATTCCTGGCTTTTATTTTGAAGTGAAATCCAAACTTCACCAAGGTAACCTCATGATCATTTATTTAAAAGAAGTTGAGCCACCGTTCCAGCTAATTGCATCGCCGTTCGAGCAAACTACACCATCACCCACCATCCACATCCATACTGAATAAAGATTAGATTAACTTTTAAAACTTATAACTGCAGTCATTTTCAGTTATACGACTACTAAAACAGCAGGAAGTGCATTTAATGAAATTTGATTGCTTTTTGTATTCACCTTCATATTTTAAAGAACACCAATCGGATGTAAGGCAAAAGTTGTAAAATTCACTAAATATACTTTGTGATTGGAAATCATCAACCAAGAGAATTCAGCATTCTACTTTTTATTTCAACATTTGATTTCGAATGATCTCTGAAAGTGTGGGATACACGTATATCTCGAAAAGAGCTTCAAAATATGTCAGATCGATAATCATATGCAATAACGCGATAGATGCAATGATCACGGATGGGTTCGGGTGTGAGTGTGGATGTAGGTATGACTGTATCTTTCATTTCATAGACCCACATCCACACCTCTTTTGATCAGGTTTAAGATGCATATATTTTCTTATCAGAAACGTCATGAAGTATCTAACGTAAGAAAAAACAATTAGAATCATTTTCATCATTATTTTTTATTTTTTTCCTACATGAGCAGGTTACCTGTTCCTTTACTTTATGTCACTATTACTAAAATCAACCACTCGAAATCAGCGGTTTTTCAAAACATAAGTCGACATGGAATTCACAAGAAAATTTTGAATAAACATATTGTAAATAGATAGAATGATCATAATCCTAAAAAATATGAAACAATAAGTATTGTTGACAAATGAATGGTTGTTTTACCATCTTTTTCTAATACCAAAATCATTGATTTCATGGATTAAAGCAAAATACACGTACAAAAAATGTATATACTAACAATTTTTGTGTACTATATAATATGCTGCTGATAATACGATGGCAAGGATAGCGACGACAATGACTATATATGGTGATAGTGGCTACTAACGACAAATAAGGTGGGAATAATGAAATTGAAGCAAAAAAAGAAAATTTCATAACATGCAAGTTATTTTTTCTTTGAGAGAACATCTGATATAAACTGGAACAAAAGATAAATGTGATGTAACAATTACCATCACAAGAAAAAGAAATCGTTTTATGTCAAACATTTAGATCAATATATGCGTCCAGCGGCATAACCAGGATTTTTTTGAGCAATGGGCAAACCTCTCTTGTGTCAGAAAAAGTGATGGGCAAAACAGGCAAGATTCTTATTGATGGACTAAAAACTTTTTGGTCCAACAAAGTACTCTTAATGTAAAAAAAACAAAAATATGAAATGAGGACCTGCGATGAATTTCATATCATTCTTCGACATGAGAGTTCGTCGACATGCACTTAGTCTACTGATACGTTGCCGACAAGAAAATTTGTCAAATTTATTTCATCAACCTCTTTTTGTCGAAAGTTCGTTTGTCGACATGTTTTGTAGACAAATAAATTAGTCAACGGCGTATTTTCTTTCTGCAGTATCCGTTGGCCGACACGTTCGATCTGGGTAGTTCGAATTTGACACACTTCAACGTGGATTTGGATAAAATATATATCCAAACTCGCATCTAAAATATCTCGCTTTTTGTTGCGAAGCAGAAATGAATTGAATTAAAAACAGAACGCTTCAATCCTTGTCCGTGCTAGTTTTTTCTCATACTCCTCGCTGTGTATATTTCGATAAGTATACTACTTAATTTTCTATTTTCTCTTTTGTCTTGTTGATTATGTAGGCGCACAATAAATCCAAACTCTTGAGATTTAGTATTACTCAATTTAGTTTGTTGAGGGCTTAGGATGAGGATTCCACCAAAAAAAGGGCTAGAGCGGATAAGACCATTTTTCTGCCCCCAACGAAATCGAGTTATTTCTATTGTGTTGAAGTCAGGCTTAGACCCTGATCATGTTTCACAGGTTTATTTTTCAAAACCTTGAAAAAGAAATTTTTTGGCCTGTGGTCCCCCACAAGGATCATGAAAATGTTTTTTGTCAAAAATCAAATGAAATGTACTCTATGTGGTAGAGCAAATTGTACTGATTACGGATATCAATATTATAAGTTCCTCGAATAGTTTTTCAAATGAGTACACATTTTATTCCAAGATGACTTTTACAAAGAAATTGTCAACTTTTTGCCTCCAGTTGAGACCGTTGAATCATTGAATCAGCTAGAAATGTACATAATGTATGTAAAACTATACGTTCTATCTGAAAATGAACAGAAAATTAGTTTTGTAGCATGACTTTATCTGATATTTTGAGATCAAGAGGCAGAGCTGGGCAAGTACGGACTTTTTCGAGTACAAGTAACTTACATGATATGAGAATGTGTTTGTCGCGAAATTATTAGAGAAAATTTAATTCGTAGTGCTAGAGATTACGTATCAATTGTGAGATCAAGAAATAGTCTTAATCATGAATCAATATTTTAAAATTATGTTTATTATCAAGCTTCAAAAGAATCAAACAACAACAAAACTTGATTACATTTAAGAAATGTAAGCAAACATACATTTTTTGAAGTCAACGATGCGCGCTGGGGGCGCATTACAAATCCACTTTGAGAAAATATTCTTTCAATAGGAGATGATGTAGCCGGCACTGATATGTATTTCAGACCCAGTTCAAATAAAGAAGGATAAATATTTTTCTTTAGAAAAAGTAAATTAGTTTCATTACTTTTCTCGCATAGAAAAGCATTTAGCTCTACCAAAATTTTTGGTTTCTCATCAAAAGAAATTTTTTTCAAATCATTTAGGTAAGGAAAAATACATTTTCTTTTTGTTATGGGATCAAAACTTGGTGCCGGCTGATCGCTCGTATCTTGTTGAACTATGTTCAGTTCATCAGCTCCCACTTTCTGTAACAAAGAAAAGTTCAATTTTGAGAAAAAACGAACAAAAGTAGTATGTATTTTTTTGATAACACGCAACTTTACCGTACCTTGAAGACTATCCAGCCATAAAAACTTAAAACGTGCATCTAGAATTGGGGTAACAAGAAAAATAGGATCAGAAAAGCGTTCAGACATAGAATAAGAAGCAAATGGCACATCAATTTCGAAATGGCGAAGAAGTCCATTAAAACGAGCTTTAATGGACGAAATAAGTGCTTCACATAAAGATACAAGAGATAAATCTGAAGCAGCGCGCTCATGTTCAAGATCAATAAGAATACCAAGAATTGTAGGAGCAGCAAGACTAATCGTAGCATAGCATTCACCTTGTGTCAAAACGGTAGCTTCATTAAAAAGTTCAAATAGAGAAACAAAATCTTCTAAAGTTTTTCTGTCTTTCGTATTAAGAATAATTAGCTCGAGGAATACTATAATGATGTCCCTCAATCGTTCAGCAAATGAAGTACTTGTGTGTGCAAGTTTAGCAAGATCAGCTACCTTTTTAAGAGATGATAAAGCACCACTAGCAGCCTTAATACCATCATGTACCACCAGTTGAAGAGAATGAATAAAGCATGGTAATCGTAAAAATTCTTGATCTGTTGGTGCATTACGTGTTGGTCCATATATATCATCATTTACTTCTTCTATTTCCAATTGATTCTTGTCGCATTCATCACTATCAGTATCATCGTCACTTGTTTCAAGTTCCGATTGATCATCAATTGAATCATCAAAATATTCATCAAAGCCGGGTAATAGGAGATGATTAAAAGTAGCTTGATTATTACTTGCATTATCAGTAATAATTCGAACAAGTTTGTCTTTTAAGTTGTACAGTTGTGTAACTCGATCGAATTCGGCAGCTAGTTTTTCACCGGAATGTTTACCTGTTAGACGTTCAAATGAAAGAAGATAAGTTTTATAGTGATCGTCAACAATTGCATGAAGAGTTACACCAAAATAACTTCGCATTCTACGATCACTCCATGCGTCAAGAGTAAGACCAATATAGTTGGATCGATTACAAACTTCCTGTAGCTTCTTGATACATGATTTATACATAACAGGAAGAAAATTACGTGTAATATCACGTCTATTAATCATATTGTATTTTGGATCAACGTCTAACATAAAATGTTTGAATGATAGATTGTCGACTATAGAAAATGGAAGAGACATATTAACAATAAGATTTCAAATTATGCTGTTGTTGAGAAGTTGTTGGCGTTTATTACTGGTGGAATTTAACATCAGAAAAATTCTTTATTCATTTTATCTTTATAGAAAATGTAAAATCGTGTCATAATAACATATTTCTCTCAATAGGAGAACAATATCCACCATAACAATTTTAGCTCTGCATTACTGTTACTCTCTAATTTAATTATGATGTGACTTGAGATGAATAAATATTTACATTTTTCGTTATCTCGATTATGAGCAATTGTAGTCTTCGGTTGATTTGTTTCTTGCACTACCTGGTCTTGTTTACTTTTCCATTTATCAAATATTAACCGATGTTTAATTTTTACGCGCTTTAAAATGTTAGATGTAATTGATAATGAGCAAACATTGCAACTGCCTGTCCATCGATTTTTTTCAATATTAGTGCTCAATTTTGAAAAAAATTCTTTGATAAAAGGTGGTCCATTAGCATCATCATTTATCACGATGATGGATTCGGATTCATCTTTTGATGTAGTTAAATTTGTACTTGTATCCATAATAAATATAAAAGATAATTGAATATCCGAAATTATAAATCAAATGGATGAACCACAATATTACGCCAGCAATGAATTTATTTCAGTGGGAATGAATCATGTATACAACAAGAAAAAACTAGACAATATATCAACACCAATGGGTACTAGATACATTCTATATTATTAGTGAATAATAGGAGAAAAGAGTACGCTGGTTGTTATACATGACGTGATGTGCTAGATATTTATCTGAATGATTCATTCAGAATACATATACATATAAATATAAAAGGAAAGAAAGAAATCAACTGTTCTTTCTTGAAAAAATCTACATTATTATTTTATCAAGCATCATTTTGATATAATTAATGTTGATGTAGGACTTGGAGTACTTAATCCTCGAGTACAAGTACCAACCCTTTGAGTACGAGTACGAGTACTTCGAGTATTTCTCCCAGCTCTGCCAAGAGGTCAAAAATCGACTTTTTCGTGTGGTATGTCATGTTCAGTCCTCTGTATCTACATGAGGATAACTAGAACCAATACCATTTTTTTTCTAGTGTATGTAACTTTTTAAGCTCTATCGATCGATGATCTTGAAAGTGTGAAAAAAATGGCCGTCATTGTCGAAAGCTCAAAAAACGTTCTTGTAACGGTATTTACCGTTACGGCTCACTTTATGTACTTTATCCTCTTCGCTGCATCCTATGTTTGTGCATTGACCTGATGAACTCTCATTATTCTACTGCGTGACCTTTCCCTCTTTGTCTATATCCGCCCAAGTGTGATCGCTCTCGCGTATACAATGGAATGTACCTAAAGGAAATGCACGACTAGAGATGTGCAGATGACACAATACACCATCATGCCGACGGGCATAGGCGACACTCTCTATGTTCGTCACAATGAAGACTTCTTATTTTTGCCGTACTCAATTTTATTTTTATTTTTGTCGAATATTCGACTTATTTTTTCTTTTAAATGAGATCCTTCTCCTTGATCGATGCTTAACTGGTTGCTGAAAATATAAATTTCATCTATATCATAGTTTTTCTTTACATCATTTTTTCTTTGTAGATATTCATGTTTAAAAAATTGCCTATCAGTTCATATTTTATCCTAGTTATGATCGGTACGATCATAGGACTAATAGCTAGTTATTCTCTGGGAGTATTTCATCGGCATTCGAAACAAATCGACGAGGCCATGCTACGTTTAGATTTACGTAAGCAGAACCGATCGAAAATATTAGAAAATGTCAAATCAAATTGTTCTCAACTGATTGTTGAATATCCTGAATTTAATGTCTATCCACAGATTAATCTGTGTAGCGATTACGATTTGTCATCGAAATTAGTTAAATTAACAATAATTTCATCAACATTGTATAATATCTATTTATTTTATATGTTATATCGTTCAATTTTATTATCAATTATTATAATGGGAATATCGTCGACTTTCTTATTCAATATGAACTTCTTCAATAATGGGCAAATTCTTCATTTCTTAGATGTTACCTTAGTTTTCATTGGTTTTGTTCTGATTGTCGGTCATATTCTATTAACAAATTCCAAAAATCAATTCTAATTAGAAAGACGAAAAGCTGATTATGAAGAAAAAGGGTTATCAAAAAACAACGAATTCATATTGGTAATAATATTGATGATAAATAAGATTAACGCTAAAAATAATAATGTTCTTGTATTCAATTTATTTTTAATGTTATATTATTGTACCATAATGAGTTGATTGATACAAAAGAAATTTTGTTTTTCAATTTCAAGTTATATTCTATTTGTATATATTATATAATAATAAATTCTACCGTTAATTGAAAAAAATTTTATTCATAAAATATGACTGCTATTTGCAGGTGTTTATTATTTTGTTTATAAATATAATCATACTTATTTAAAGATTTTTCATGAAGGCCTATCAAGTAATCGGATTAAAATCTGTTGATCAATACAATTGCTAATCAAGTATTTAAAACGATATCTCAATTTCAATAAGATTTCCATCAATCTATTTTTGTATTGTTATTTATTCTATACTTTTTTCAAAAGTATTCAACCTGCATACTACTCTGCATTCTCCATTTTTCTTACAATATAAAGGTCTTTTCATATCAATCTAAATGAAAACTAGGATCTGAAACAGCTTTGCTGTTGTTACTCTTATATGTATATATATATATACCCCCGGAAAAAATAAACGTTCCTCCGTATTTTGTGGATATTGTTATCATATGAACATATTTTATGAAAAGTAACGACATATTCTGAAAGCTCGTGAAATGTTATATCAGCCTGTATATTTGCATTTTCGTTTGAATATATATTTTACCAAAAACATTGAGTGTTATGAAGGTACCCTCATATATAGATTTCCACAGATTTGCTTTTGTCATTGTCATGAAAATTAGTTTTAAAATTTTCTATCACTATAGAGTTATCTTTTGAAAAAGTAATTATATATTCTGATAGAGCTTGGAATTTTCTGTCATCCTATACGCTTTTGTCTTGCCTTACATTTATGTGCTGAATGGACTGCAGCACATAAATGCAAAATAGTTAACAAATATACAGGATGATAGAGAATTTTAAGCTATATCAGAATCTGTGATTGCTTTGAAAAATAAATTTTCACATAGGAATAATACATTTCAAACGAGAAGTCCAGAAACAATGAATAATGCACATTTTTGGTACTTGTCATTTGACGGTGTGTTCACTATACTCAAATTTTCTTACCAATAAATGAAATATAAGGAAATACGTAAATATACAGGGTGATAGAGGGTGTGGTTGTGGGTGTTGAGAATGATCCTATTATTATTCACACACGTTCACACACCCACGCCCACATTATTCCTAGGACACTCGATATTATTGATATAGGTAAACAGATTGCTTGAATTGCAAATAAGACACTATTAGATTTTGAATCTCTATGAAACTATTTCTCATACACTTGTGAAGCTTTGAAAATAATTGAAAAAACAACGCTCATGACTGAAGTGATATATTTCTAGACTCTTTCTATCTCTCGGAATCTTTGGATTGAAAAATGATGAAGCCGAATACCGTATTCATAAACCTCGATAGATCGCAGTAGGGAATGATAAATTTCTTAACCAACTTTGAGAACAATTTTTGTATAATTAAATAAATTTTAAATAACTATTTAGCCTATTCCGATAAAGAAGAAATCTGTAATTTATGTTGTCGTCTATTAAGTAAAATTGTTAAAAGACAACGTGATCTTGATGTTTCATTCTTAGTCCAGTAAGATTAATAAATGAGAAAGGCCTTTTTTTTCTTTCTAAACACAAACTAATCTATTTTAGCTTATCTGATCTATCTCGATTTTGGTTACAATCCAATGAAACATCAATTCACGATAGTTACTATGCTATTTTATGTTGTTTACCTGTTAATATTCTCACCAGGTTAGTAAGAAATTCGAAACTGATTGAATTATTTCTCTTGAATCTATTTCTTTAGTAAATTTCCTACACATGGTATATTGCTATCGTCGAAAAATGATTATTCTTGTTTTGCTAGCATTGTTAAACGAAATCATATGAATATACCATATTTGGGAACATTTACAAAACATTGTTTTATTTTAATATTAGGTTATATAATTACTTGTTAATCATCAAATGCCGTATGTGTGAGCTTTATTCAATCCAAAAAAAGGGAACCGTACAAGAAAACGAAAAAACAAAACCATAATATCAAAAATACCCAACTCATCCCTCATTCTTGCTCCCCATGCTCCTCCTCACAGAACGAGAAAAGATACAATATGCATAACTATGTAGCGAGGAATGGAACGAAGAATAATAGCAGCTCAA